TACAGTGTCGGCACAGCGGCCATGTTCTGAGGCGAAGCAAGCACTGTTCTTACATCCCTGGTGTCACATGATACTCAGAAACTTTGATTTGCAAGTGCTCTGCACAACTTGTTCCTCTGAGAAAGGTAAACCAGCCGGCACACAGCAAGTGTCCCGCACGAGAAAAAATTACTTTGCCACATAGCGAAGTAATTGCCGCGTCGGTTGCTTATGTAGCAGACGACGCAGCAAAGGCTTGGACAATGGTTATCTCTAATCGGCCCCAATTCACAAGGCAGCCAACTGCGGCGCTCCACCGAGCATCAGCCACGCAGTGCCGTGTGCACCCCAACAGTGGACAACCGTGTACATCGAGACCTACTTGCTTATTTGCAGGGCACAATCATGACGCAATTTTTTTACTATGATTTCACCATTCCTTTATTGGCAGAAAATGCCCTCTATCCATTTTTTATGCCCGATGCACCGGATCCTACAGGTAATTTTTAGGTTACATTCTATCTGCTTCCACCTTCTCTTGATGAGTCATGTGAAACAGAAAAGTTATTCCAAACATTTATTTATAACTATCTGGAGTGCAGTGCACCTCCCGGTCTACACAGGAGAGATATCGCACAAAGGTGAAACAAGAGAATGATTCAGATGGGGGAAAACCGTGGTGTAGACTGGCAGTACTGCTTGGATATCATTAAAAATAACTCTGAGTGATCCGAGTTATGCACAACTTTACTCAGCATTGCCAGTCTACCTCCTGGCTGAAAACCCCATTTATTAAAAAAGTCGCAGGCGAGCAGTGCTGTAATCGTGGTAACTCCTCTTCAACCTGTCAGCTTGCCAGCACATGAAATGGAAAATCAACGCCAGGGTATTAGATTCTTCAATTATAAAAAAGAAACGTGCCATGAACACGTTCATTAGTGTGCTTCAACTGAATATATATTACACTTTCAGTAAACCTACTATTTTTCCTTTGACAATGTTGAAAATTCCTGGCATGCAATGACAGACCCTGTCCTTCTACTTGGTTGTCAATGTCACACTCCGGTCGAGGTCACATTATGAACAGTGCGTGAGATGGTAGCCCACTCGTAAGTATAGGGTCCTGATTATCTTGACTTCCCTAATGTAGCTGCACCGAAGACAATATACTGACCAGACTTTCTCAAATAAATGTTACGCCTCACTCCTTGCTAACAAATATTGAAAAATGGAGGCCTCCTGATATATTTTTCTTTGCTCGCTGGTGTTCCTTGTCCTCTAGCATCCACACTGGCAGGTGATATCAGTCGTCAAAGCTTGCATCTCTCGTGGTCCTGAAATCCAAACACAAATGTTGGAATAGGTCTCAATTCTACTTAAAAATGATTGCAAAGCAACACATATCCTTACTGCAGGTCTCTGGTTTCAGGATTGGCCATTCTTTCCTGGTAGTGCTCACCTGGTGCAAGTGTTGTAAAACAAACTTGCTTCTTTATAAGCTGGTTCACCCTTTGCTGCAGCCAAACTTACTGCCCGGGGCATTTTTGTAGAGAAAAAGTGGCGTGGTTACAGGACTGCTAGCATCGTGCAGCGGCCACACTTACTACTGGCTTTCATGACGAGACTGCGGGACGATTGAGTGGACTTTGTACTGCCCGGGGCATTTCTGTAGAGAAAAGGTTGCGTAGTTACAGAACTGCTAGCATCGTGCAGCGGCCACACTTACTGCTGGCTTTTATGACGAGACTGCGGGACGAATGAGTGGACTTTGTACTGCCTGGGGCATTTCTGTAGAGAAAAGGTTGCGTAGTTACAGAACTGCTAGCATCGTGCAGCGGCCACACTTGCTGCTGGCTTTTATGACGAGACTGCGGGACGAATGAGTGGACTTTGTACTGCCTGGGGCATTTCTGTAGAGAAAAGGTTGCGTAGTTACAGAACTGCTAGCATCGTGCAGCGGCCACACTTACTGCTGGCTTTTATGACGAGACTGTGGGACGAATGAGTGGACTTTGTACTGCCCGGGGCATTTCTGTAGAGAAAAGGTTGCGTAGTTACAGAACTGCTAGCATCGTGCAGCGGCCACACTTACTGCTGGCTTTTATGACGAGACTGCGGGACGAATGAGTGGACTTTGTACTGCCCGGGGCATTTCTGTAGAGAAAAGGTTGCGTAGTTACAGAACTGCTAGCATCGTGCAGCGGCCACACTTACTGCTGGCTTTTATGACGAGACTGCGGGACGAATGAGTGGACTTTGTACTGCCTGGGGCATTTCTGTAGAGAAAAGGTTGCGTAGTTACAGAACTGCTAGCATCGTGCAGCGGCCACACTTACTGCTGGCTTTTATGACGAGACTGCGGGACGAATGAGTGGACTTTGTACTGCCTGGGGCATTTCTGTAGAGAAAAGGTTGCGTAGTTACAGAACTGCTAGCATCGTGCAGCGGCCACACTTACTGCTGGCTTTTATGACGAGACTGCGGGACGAATGAGTGGACTTTGTACTGCCTGGGGCATTTCTGTAGAGAAAAGGTTGCGTAGTTACAGAACTGCTAGCATCGTGCAGCGGCCACACTTACTGCTGGCTTTTATGACGAGACTGCGGGACGAATGAGTGGACTTTGTACTGCCTGGGGCATTTCTGTAGAGAAAAGATTGCGTAGTTACAGAACTGCAAGCATCGTGCAGCGGCCACACTTACTGCTGGCTTTTATGACGAGACTGCGGGACGAATGAGTGGACTTTGTACTGCCCGGGGCATTTCTGTAGAGAAAAGGTTGCGTAGTTACAGAACTGCTAGCATCGTGCAGCAGCCACACTTACTGCTGGCTTTTATGACGAGACTGCGGGACGAATGAGTGGACTTTGTACTGCCTGGGGCATTTCTGTAGAGAAAAGGTTGGGTAGTTACAGAACTGCTAGCATCGTGCAGCAGCCACACTTACTGCTGGCTTTTATGACGAGACTGCGGGACGATTGAGTGGACTTTGTACTGCCTGGGGCATTTCTGTAGAGAAAAGGTTGGGTAGTTACAGAATTGCTAGCATCGTGCAGTGGCCACACTTACTGCTGGCTTTTATGACGAGACTGCGGGACGATTGAGTGGACTTTGTACTGCCCGGGGCATTTCTGTAGAGAAAAGGTTGCGTAGTTACAGAACTGCTAGCATCGTGCAGCAGCCACACTTACTGCTGGCTTTTATGACGAGACTGCGGGACGAATGAGTGGACTTTGTACTGCCTGGGGCATTTCTGTAGAGAAAAGGTTGGGTAGTTACAGAACTGCTAGCATCGTGCAGCGGCCACACTTACTGCTGGCTTTTATGACGAGACTGCGGGACGAATGAGTGGACTTTGTACTGCCTGGGGCATTTCTGTAGAGAAAAGGTTGCGTAGTTACAGAACTGCTAGCATCGTGCAGCGGCCACACTTACTGCTGGCTTTTATGACGAGACTGCGGGACGAATGAGTGGACTTTGTACTGCCTGGGGCATTTCTGTAGAGAAAAGGTTGCGTAGTTACAGAACTGCTAGCATCGTGCAGCGGCCACACTTACTGCTGGCTTTTATGACGAGACTGCGGGACGAATGAGTGGACTTTGTACTGCCTGGGGCATTTCTGTAGAGAAAAGATTGCGTAGTTACAGAACTGCTAGCATCGTGCAGCGGCCACACTTACTGCTGGCTTTTATGACGAGACTGCGGGACGAATGAGTGGACTTTGTACTGCCCGGGGCATTTCTGTAGAGAAAAGGTTGCGTAGTTACAGAACTGCTAGCATCGTGCAGCGGCCACACTTACTGCTGGCTTTTATGACGAGACTGCGGGACGAATGAGTGGACTTTGTACTGCCTGGGGCATTTCTGTAGAGAAAAGGTTGCGTAGTTACAGAACTGCTAGCATCGTGCAGCGGCCACACTTACTGCTGGCTTTTATGACGAGACTGCGGGACGAATGAGTGGACTTTGTACTGCCTGGGGCATTTCTGTAGAGAAAAGGTTGCGTAGTTACAGAACTGCTAGCATCGTGCAGCGGCCACACTTACTGCTGGCTTTTATGACGAGACTGCGGGACGAATGAGTGGACTTTGTACTGCCTGGGGCATTTCTGTAGAGAAAAGGTTGCGTAGTTACAGAACTGCTAGCATCGTGCAGCGGCCACACTTACTGCTGGCTTTTATGACGAGACTGCGGGACGAATGAGTGGACTTTGTACTGCCTGGAGCATTTCTGTAGAGAAAAGATTGCGTAGTTACAGAACTGCTAGCATCGTGCAGCGGCCACACTTACTGCTGGCTTTTATGACGAGACTGCGGGACGAATGAGTGGACTTTGTACTGCCTGGGGCATTTCTGTAGAGAAAAGGTTGCGTAGTTACAGAACTGCTAGCATCGTGCAGCGGCCACACTTACTGCTGGCTTTTATGACGAGACTGCGGGACGAATGAGTGGACTTTGTACTGCCCGGGGCATTTCTGTAGAGAAAAGGTTGCGTAGTTACAGAACTGCTAGCATCGTGCAGCAGCCACACTTACTGCTGGCTTTTATGACGAGACTGCGGGACGAATGAGTGGACTTTGTACTGCCTGGGGCATTTCTGTAGAGAAAAGGTTGGGTAGTTACAGAACTGCTAGCATCGTGCAGCGGCCACACTTACTGCTGGCTTTTATGACGAGACTGCGGGACGATTGAGTGGACTTTGTACTGCCTGGGGCATTTCTGTAGAGAAAAGGTTGGGTAGTTACAGAATTGCTAGCATCGTGCAGCGGCCACACTTACTGCTGGCTTTTATGACGAGACTGCGGGACGATTGAGTGGACTTTGTACTGCCTGGGGCATTTCTGTAGAGAAAAGGTTGGGTAGTTACAGAACTGCTAGCTAGCATCGTGCAGCGGCCACACTTACTGCTGGCTTTTATGACGAGACTGCGGGACGAATGAGTGGACTTTGTACTGTCCGGGGAATTTCTGTAGACAAAAGGTTGCGTATTTATAAACCGGTTATCGCTTCGTTGCAGCCACACTTTCCACTGGCTTTGAGGATGAGATGGCAGGCTGCATGGAGGGTATGGCGATGTTCAGGGAGTCCTGTGAAAGTAGAGTCATTGATGTACTAGGACGCTCATTTTAACTGGCAGGTATACTTCCTTCAGGCTGCGGAAATGAAACATGAGTTTAGAGAGTGCCCTTGCTGCAGAGTACGGCCGAAGCGGGACCTCCGTGCTTCCACTAACTCCTCCTTTGAAGGCCTGGCAAAGGCCGCAGTCATGGGCGCCGGAAAGATGTTTGTGCTGGCCTTCGCCGCAGTAGCAAGACACCGCCATCGACTATTGATTGCGATCACCTCCTCTACGAGCTTGTGAACGTAGCCTGGAATTGAAGGTTCTTTTTTTTCACTTTATCAAATGACCGAGCAAGTCAACGACCATAAAATGAATGCCACACTTACTGTAGGTGGGTGCTGTCTTGACGGGACAAGCTGTGTGGTGGCCCTTGCGTGCTTTGGATGTTTTCACCGCCCAGCGTGGCTTGCCCTCTTGTGTCTCAGCTTGGCAGCGATCAGCGTTCTCATTGAAATGCAAGATTGCCACTCGAGTCCTGCAGTGAAATGGTGTTTTATTAGGGATGATGTTTGCAATAATAATTGTCATTCGACCGTTTCTCTTGTACTTTGAGAGACCAATATCTAGTCGTTGGGGAAAAGGACTAAGTCAGGTCGTAGTAGGTTCAGGTGATAAACGATTATATGCAAACTGATTAAACATTAATGCAGCTTGATCATAATATTACCTTGCACGCATGCCTTCTGGAGTGAATGCCCGGGACTTGGGAGCGAAGTCAATGAGGACGCTGTGGAAGGATTCCAGGGCGAATGTCTGGCCGTGGGGGGACATCTGGGCCAGGTCCTTCAGGAGGCGCTTGTTCCCAGTGATCTGCTTGTAGTGACTGTAGGCCGGGGAGTCTGAAGAAAGAATGTGGTTTAGGAAAAGCAAACTAGGCTATGAAGGCAATAACTTACTGGGATCCATCCACATTTTTGTGGCTTCGAGAATTTCGTTGTGCACACACCGCGTGTAGCTGCCCCCGTGACCAGTGTGCTTGTCGATGACGTGGTTCTGCATGCTCAGCCAGATCTCGACGAGCAGCTCCCTGTTGCCTCCCGCAGCCATGGCAGACCAGTACATGTGGTTGGTGGTCGCCTGCGTCCACTCTTCTAGCGGTTGACATCCAGCTCGTTTTCGTGCTGCGTTCAGTTTTTTCTTCACACCTAAGATTTGACGAGATAACCCAGATCAACCTGCAGCATATTTCCCTGAAAATGTAGGTTAAATGCAATACTTGTCAAAATTGCATACTTTTGGAGATGTGCCAAATGTCGAAGTAGTGGGCGGTCCCAGGTTCGTGCACCTCCATGTGTTTTCGTATGGCAGGGTGGCGGTCAGTGCCCAAGGATTTTACATGGATACCTGCACCATATAATTCCAGAAAGTTGCAATAATAAAACTAAATGTGAGCTCAGGTTGCTGAATTTGCTGCGTAGCTGCTGAGCCTTGACTGAGTGCACGTACGTTTCTCCTTGAAGAATTCCAGCAGCTTGATGAGGCCCTCCTTCTCCATGTTGACACTTGCCATGGCTCGCTCCGACTACAAGCAGAGGTGTGGCATATTTTAATCGAGTTATGCGACCAGCAAAGCAGTGTTTATATTTTCGCTCAGATCAGGTTTCTTACCTCTCCTAGCTGGACTTGGATGGAGTGGAGGATCTTGTTGATCTGCTGAACATGTGCAGTGTAGGTCAGGAACTTGGCAGAGAACCCAGGAGAGTCGAATCTGCCATCGCTGGTGATGTCAACATCCTGGTCCTCCAGCTGTCTGACCAGATCCTGTTGTTCTTGCAGGTAGACCTGTTAATGTAAATGATTGTTGCTGTTCAAACCAGGTGAACCTTCCAAAGTTACGGTTATGTGTGCACAATAAAATAAAACTTGCTTATTTGTAATTTCAGTACCTCCTAAATACACAAGTAAATAAATATTTAGTAGTCAACCCTGGCTATGTTGCAGTATTTGTTTACAAAAACTAAAGTGCATTAGTCATTTTTCAACTAAGATTTCACTCTTCTCTGCCTTCAGATCTACCTATTTAAGCACCACTAAGAAAAAGAAACATAAAGCAACTAAGACCCTTTGAAATATTGCTCACTTCGTCGATTGCAGGGAACAGGAGGCTCTTCTGATACATGTAGAAGGTCTGATCGCTGAAGACCTCCACGTTCATGTGGCGCAGCATCCTCAAGGTGCTTGTGACATTTGATCCAGAGAACAGCAGGTGGCTGGACAGCAGGATGTTTCCAGCTGCCCTCCCGTTCATGAGAGGCCGACTGTCCCATATCCGCTCGTGATTCAGGGGGCAGATGCTTTTCACCTTGATCAGTGTGCCCAGGGGGGTGATTGTGGTGTTGCAGGGCCTTGAACACTCCTGGCAGGTGCTGAACAGCTCCCCCAGGCAGCTCTCAAACACGAGGAACTGTCGCTCCCCCTCTGGTGGGCCTGGTGTGTATTGATCGCTGCAGCAGAATCAAGAAAATATTTAGAAACGAAACGGAATGTAAACAAGAACAGCTTACCTCTCAAAATCTTCGTCACGAGTTGGGGAGTATGTCAGATCGGATCCCGATGAGATGCTGGTGGCTCCAGGGCTTAGCGGACTTAGTGGAACCGCCTCCTCCACAGCAATGGCTGTCGCTGGTGGTGCAGCTGCTGGTAGTGCAGCTACTGGTGGTGTAACTGCCTCCTCCATGGCAATGGCTGTCGCTGGTGGTACAGCTGCTGGTGGTGCAGCTACTGGTGGTGCAGCTGCTACCACAGCAAGGGTGTTTGTCACTGCTACAATTAGAAATTACAGACTTGTAACCTCTATATGCACGCTGATTTCCGAAAGTACTTACGAGCACCTTGACCTGTTGTGGCAGGCTCCACAGCACCATTGTCCTGATGCTCAGGACTACTAGAAGGTACTAGTACCCGACTGGTGGCACCAGTGTCGTTGCCCTGCGGAAGAGTTGTTTCAAGAAAGATGAGTATTTATTTATAGAATCTCATGGTGACACAGTGGTATTATGCATCATCTGCCTAGTTCTTGGGATATGTTCTGCACACATGATAGTCATTACTCGTAACAGTTTGCAATGGTACAAGCTCGGCAAGCAGTAAAAGTAAGGGGGGGAGGGCAATTTTCTGAATTAAAAATAGTCTTGCATTTCCCACATCTTTGTAACCCAATCATTTCCTTCTATTTTTCAACGCGCAACATGTACTATCGGGACCAAAAGAATAGAAACAAAGCAGCGCATAATACGGCGTGCAAGTGAACCAAAATGCGCCTTTCGCGTAGGAGAGAGTTTGTACGAGCTTCCGGGAAAACATAAATACGCATAAACAACGTGCCAATCAACGCGCAATTTAGAGAATACGCAAGAAACGCACGTTTACGAAGCAGCCAGGTACGCGCTGCCACTGGTTGATCTAAGATGGCAAACAAGAGCACGTGGGCACATGTCGGTTGTAAACGAACGCATGAGATACGCGAACAGTAGACGCACTTGCACTCCGTATATATTCCACCCACCCTTATTTCGCCAAAGACCACCGTGAAAAGACGCTCACGCGCTCCTGTTTTATTTCATCTGGTGCCGACGGATCAGTGTGCACAGTAACGGCATTACTGTTGCTTGTGAAAACAAAATTAGGCTGCGACCTTCCGGGGTCCGAAATATTGAGACTAACCCTCCATAAAACAGGAAATAACTGATCTTGACGACACTACTGGCACTGGGATTATCTATTATTATACATTACGTATCGATTGCACTTTTCGTGGGTATCGGTACGTCCGTGTTCGGTCACTGTCCAAATAAATCCCTTTACGTGGACAGCTCCTGCTCATAAGCTTCGCATGCACGCGCAATTCGTCTTGCAACTTGTTCCGAACACGTGGCTTCTAAGATTTTCGGAACTCCCCACAAAAGCTATGCCGCGAAAAAAAGAAAACTAACTTACCACGACTTTCTGGCGCTTCAGCGGAGATGCCTCGATCACGTCCTCGACTGGAAGCAGAAGCGTCGGCATCGCGTTCCATCGAAGCTGTGAACGACCCGTGTCCTCCGCGCAGAAGAACTCACTTTGGTCGAAGTGGTCGTGACAAAAACGGGGCGTCATAGGCAAGTTCTGGGTGTCGTCTTGGCGGCCGGCGCGACGTAACCACGTGCTTCTCCGAGGTTCATCTTTCGGCAGGACGACGAAACGCAGGCCTTTTCGGGCGTTCTTCGATTTGCGGTTGGGGCAAGTCGTAACCAAACAAACGTTTGGCATCGCAGCGTAACCTCTGGTACGCGATGTCAAACGATGTCGCGACGTTGAATTTCGCCTCGGGAGGACGGGCGGACACAAACGCACTTCCCGAAAACCCGGAGGGAAAGAGTTCATGATACGCGCGCTTCCGCGCATCCCGAGGGAACGGCAAATTCACCCCACGCGGAGGAAGGCAAAAAGAAAACGTAGTCCCTTGTTTGTGAAACGATAATTGCAGTATCGCGTATTCTAAACTAGAAATATTTTACGTCTTGTGAAATTATCATGCACAACTTATTTAAATGAACTGAAAATTGTTTCTTTAGCGAAACTTTACAAAGACCGCCAAAATTTTCAAACATACGATAATTTCATTGGCCCTCGCAAGTACAGAAAAGAGTCCGCACGTATTTTATTCCTGCGTGATTAATAGGCGGTTCTGACTTCTAAAACTGAAGATACTCATTCACTGACACTTCCTTAACGCCATCGCACCAAAAAGTAGCTTCTCCAAAAACCGCTTGACTGCCCCTTTAAACACCCACTTGAGGGACTCTGTTTTTTTTAGCAAAAGGAATCAGATAGGACTGAACCGAGACGAACTTGAAAAGTCCTGTCCGACAGATATTCCTTTATGCATCGCAGCATACGGCCACGGATATTACAGGCATACAGGCTTCGAAGAATCCCATACCTCGGCGCTGTGTCATATGCCCTTTCAAGTCAAGAAAAAAAAAACGCAACAAAATGCAGCCTGTTTACAAATGCTTCGCGTATCACAGTTTCCAGGCGAACTAAGTGGTCAAGGGTAGATCGACCTTGGCGGAATCCACACTGATTGTTTTCAAAGACCCTCTGGCTTTCTAACATGTATACCAGTCACTTGTTTATAAGCCTTTCAAACGTTTTCCCGAGGCAGGTCGTCAGTGCAATTGGGCAATAACTTGATGGTTGTGAGGGGTCTTTATTAGGGTTTAAAAAGGGGATGATTTGTGCACGTTCCCAAGCCTGATCAGGGGAACATGCTTTTTTCACAAAAGATTGAAAAAGAGGAGAAGGTTTTCAAGGGATTCCGAAGAAAGGTGGCGAAGCATTTCATAGTGAATTCCATCGGGCCCAGGGGCAGAGAGCTTAGTTACATTAAGGGCCATCTCAAGCTCGCGTCGCGTAAACGGTTGTTTATAAGATGCTGAATTTCCCCCCGACACGACAAGCTTTTGTCGCTCAGCACCAGCTTTCAACTATACAAAGGCAACACTGTAGTTGGCCGAACTAGATGATGTATAAAAATGATCCCCGAGTATATTACCAGCTGGAATAGCAAAGCACCTATAATTCCCATTTACTTTCCGATATCTGTCCCAGGCCTCTTTGGCCAGGACAAGACTAGTTAGAGAAGAGAGATACGTCACCCACGACTTCTGCTTTGCTTGCTTCCTAGTCCAACGACCCTTAGCTTTTCGTCGCTTGAACTCAACAAGGTTCCATGAAGTGGGGTATCTGCGAAATCGGCCCCACGCCCCATTTCGGTCCGTCCGGGTCGTGGCACACTCCTCGTTCCACCAAGGTTTGCATTCTTTGGGTATATTACCAGATGTTTGTGGAATGGACTGTTGAGCAGCCCTTAGTATCTGCTCAGTAACATGAAGTGTAGCGTTCTCAGGGGACATAAAAGAAAAAATCGAAAGATCTAAAGTGGAGTGAAGATTAAAAAGCGTCCAGTCAGCCTTTTCTAACTTCCACCTAGTGACCCGCTTTAAAAGATTAATTAATGGAACGATACTTTCTAAAATAAATGGATAGTGATAACTTCCAAAAGGTTATGAAGAACCTCCCAGGAAAAGCAAGGAAGTAATAAAGGTGAAGCAATACAAAGGTCAAAGGATGTGAATGAGTTGTGTGCCGCACTAAAAAACGTTGGCTTTCTCCCGTTAATTAGGCACAGCCCAGAAGACAATAAAAGACGCTCAATTACACCACCACGGGAGTCCTGACGGGTACTACCCCTCATAGGATGATGAGCGTTAAAAACACCTAAAATTAAAAAAAAAAGGATGAGGAAGCTGTCCTACAAGTCCCTGCAGCTCTTGAAGATTCAAAGGAATATTTGGTGGCAAGTATAAAGAGACAACTGTTACAAGGCGGTCCACGAGGAAACGCACTGCAACAGCTTCCAGAGGTGTGCAGAGTGGTACTTGAGAGCAAGCGACTCCGCTCTGCACAACCACTGCAACACCACCAGAAAAGAAAGGGGGGGGGGGGGAAGGGGGGGAGGAAGCGGGACGGTCTTTCCTAAAAACCTGGTGATGTCTTAAAATGTAAAAAAAATTTGATTGAAGGTAGGTTTCTTGCAAAGCAAGAGCGATGGGCCGAAGCTCATCCATGAAATAGTTAATATCATCAATCCTTCTTAAAATACCGGGACAGTTCCACGGCATAAAATGTAACTTAGTAATCTATTAAGACGTGTGCAAATGTGTAAATATATGAGTGAAACATAGTAAAATAAATGGAACCATGGACAGCCAACGAAATTTAGGTAGAAGATACGGCAACAATACGGCTACTAACGGGGTCATCATTGAGTGGTACTACAGGCTGTTCCTTTTTGAATTTGAGGGAGGGCGCCTCCCATGCCATGCCATCCTGGTCAGACCCAGGAGTGGGCAGAGTGTCAACATCTGTTGGCACCTTCCCCACCTAAGACGTGCCCACTGGTGCAGATAGGGAGCTTGTCCGGCCTGGCCCACGGGGAGGGGGGGGGGGGGGGGTAAGCCCCGGGCACGGTCACCTGGAGGAATGGTGGGCGAACTTAGCAAGCGGTCACCCGAGCTCGTCTTGTCCCCTCCTTTCACTGGAGCTGCATGCGCTCCATGCTGCTCCTTTGGTAGGGGGCCCTCTCCAGCGAGCAAGAGCGAGAAACTCGCTCTTTTTCCCTAGGAGGAGACCTAGGAGACGGGGAAGGCACGGCAGCTGCCGGCCTATCCTTGGATGAAGGGGCAGCACCCGTGCTACCACCGGGGACTGGAGGAAGCTGCTGCTGCCCCTGTCGGGGAGCTGGAGCCCTGAAGTCGGCCACCAAGATCTCGGGAGAGACCTGGGTGGCCTTCGACTCCGAGCGTGGTGCAGGGTCCCTGCGCATCACCTCAGCAAAACTCTTCTTTGACAAAAAGGAGAACCGCTTCCTGGCTTCTGGGTATGGTATGACTTCCTTTACTTTGATGGTAAGAATGTCCTTTTCTAGCTTTCAAGAGGGACATGCACGATAATAAGCAGGATGGGGTCCACCGCAATTAGCGCAGTGCGCCACAGCCACCTCGCAAGTATCGGAAAAGTGACCTTGACAGTGATGTGATTGGCTCTAGCCGTTTTGGAGCACGTTCTGGAGCAGCCAAAACAAAGTTTTGGAGCAGCAAAACTGGATTTTGGAGTAGCTAAAACAGTGGTTCGGAGCAGCGAAAGTGGCTTTTGGAGCAGTTATTCTTAGAGGAAGAAAAAAAAGAGATATTCATTTCAAGTGGTGGACAAACGAAGGACACATTGCTCGCCGCAATCAACGAACTATTGCCAAGATGGACCTCCTGGGAGTCTTTCAACATGTAACTGAAATGCCAATGACATGACACATTTTGCAATGCTTCAGTTAAATAATACAAATACATCGGACCAAACGGCACATATTAAAATTTATTTGAAAATGACCAGCTTAGTAGTAAATATCACATCATTAGGCTGACTAGTAATATAATAAATGGAAGCAGTCTCCAACTGATGAAACACGTAACTACTGCCGTGCAATGCGAAATTGTCGCGCGAGCGGAGATGGCTGTTCGATCGAAACTATGCCACTCCGCTCCGTTTCCAACTAATTCCCAAAATTGTATGCAAAATGTAACTGTCCAACATACGACAAAAAAAAAAAAAAACAGTCTAGCCGCACGGGCCTACCAGGCCGCCAGGCGAGATACAAGCTAAACACAAAAAAAGAAGGAAAAACTGAGCGCATCAGTGCAAGACATTGCGAGCCAAGGTCAAAACATTCTTGGAGCACATTGTGCAACGACTGAATTGGAGACAAATAAGCGCGCTGTGCGGGTTCAGCATGCGGACATTGCCTTCTTTGCTAAAGCTCACTTCTCTTCACTAACTTTCTTTCGCGGCTGATTTGTTTCACGTACCAGGGTACGTCTCTAAAGAAACACCGAGAGAAACCTAGGTAATCAATACTTCGACACAACAGTCTTTGAGCTAAAGGGATGTTTGGAGTAGCGTATTAAACAAGAACAAGATTATTGATGAACATGCGGCAGTGCTTAGTTTCAGTTTAGAAAGTGCCCTAACTGCAGTAACGTGGGGACGGCAACATCCGACGTCGCGCGACCATGGTGACTGGCAGGCAGGGACGAAATATAGTTTGTCCACGGCCGTTGCTTTTAGGAGCGAGTGCTTCAGCCCATAAAGTAACCCCCGCCGCGCGCGGCGGGAAAAACCATGCAAGGCCGGATGAACGATTGATGCAAGGTACTTTGTGTCGGACGGCTGCTTGCACCACCTAGCTCATGTGTGCTCAATTACGGTACTCAGTTTAGCTTTGGTTTTCAAAGGCGGCCAAAATTGATCCTTTGGCGCAGGCTTGGTGCAGATTACCCATATTTTGGAAAAATGTAGCAGGATGTAGCAGGGTTAGCCCCTTGGCACAGTTTGGCGCAATTGGAGCAGCAATCACATCACTGCCTTGACTACCGCACTCGCAAACGTCTCCTTCCCTCGACAGTTGCTTGTTCCATGACCAAAACACTGGCACGGAAGCACCGCTGGGGGTTGGGGAAATAAGGGCGGATGCGGCAGTTCAAGTATCCTGCCTTGATTGTCTCAGGGAGAGTGTGCCTTTCAAAAG